ATGGGCGGGATGTGGCAGGCTGATGCCGTGTTTACATAAGTCTGCATGTGGCATCGCTAACTTCCATGCCTGCAGCCCCGCCCCCTGCCCGCAAACACACACGACATCAATATTCCCCAACCCACAGTCTGGGCACTATCGCATCGGCGCCCTCTCCCTCACATCACGTGTTCCTTTCTCATCTCCACTCCTGTCCCCTAGGCTCCCCTGTCCCTGGAACCAGGCTCCACTGTCCCCCAGGTTCCCCTGTCCCTGTCCCCCAGGCTCCCCTGTTCCAGGTTCCCCCAGATCTCCTGTCCCCCTGGCTTCCTAGTCCCCCCCCCCAGTCCCCTGTCCCCCCGGTCCCCTGCCTTCCATTTCTCAGTTCCGTTCATGTCCATCTCCTTACCACTGTTGTGGCCCTGGTATGTATGTCAGCAAGTCACATCCAGCAACATTTCATTTGATGTCTGGTCTCCTTTGTGGCTTCCATAATATTTCTGGAATTAGTCTTAGACGTTACATCTAACATGTTCACTCACATGCCCAAAAATGATGGATGTAGCCACACATGAGGGGAGGGGAGTAGAAAAAGCCAAGAAGTTTTAGCTGAAAAGTTTAGGAAGTGCGAGATATCAGGAGAATTCCTGCCACGGTGGGTCCTTCAAGGTAATCGGCAGAGGGCAAAACTCCTCGAGGCTCCCCGCTTCATTTGTTATTATAACAAATTCATCGGCTGAGTTTTCTCTCAAGGTCGGCCTTCATTATTTTTTCAGTCATAACAACAAAGGGGATGATTACAGATCTGGGCTTTGACTGTACGGGCCAGACAGATAAGCTCCATGGCCGCCCGCTCTGATATTAGCATTAGCGCTATCAACTGATACGGGCGATTAAGAAGCACTAAAATACGGTGCAGAATTGTTAAAATCCCAGGAAACTAGGTGCTCTTGTACCTCTGTGTGCCAAATTATATACTCTTTGATTGTTGACTAATTGTCTCAGCTTCAGGCTTGCATGAAGTTCTAGAATCAGGCCCATTTTGTGTGAGTATGGAGTTTGCAGGTTCCCCCATGTTTGCGTGTGTGTGTGTGCGTGCGTGCATGTGTGTTAAAGGCCCACACATTGACTGGTGTTCAGGGTGAACTGTGCCTTAATTACCATACCTTGGAAAGGTACAGTCCAACCCTGACCTTAATCGAATATAAAGTTATTGATAATTGATGGGTGGATGGAGTGAATATGTACAGATGTAATGAAGGTAAAGGGCTCCAGAGGGAAAACCAAAGGCTCCCCCAGTACAAATCTCACATGCTGACTATCCTACAGCCTGAGTATTCCGTTAAATTTGTTGTTAAAATCTCTTCCCCTACACCTTTCAGTGCATCTTTCCAGGTTCTAACAAAAAGTATCCCCATGTGCATTTTATATCGCATCTTCCAAATAAATTGCATACTTTAAATAATACCTGACTAAACTGGTGTGAAACAAGTACTAAATAATCTGGTGAGTGAGTCCTTTATGGGTGTGGGGGGCATTCTGGCATGTGACTGATGGTTATCTCTATGCCTGGTCTGGAGTTCACGATGAATAAGCAGCTGGAAAGGGCTGGCTCTGGGACGATGTCCAGGGTGTGGTGTTAATCTGCACGGTGGGCTCTGGGAGTGGACGGGTATGGTACCAGTTGATGTTTCGGCCATAGTTTGGTGGCAGTGTGAAGATTGTGGAGAGCTCAGTGTTGAGTGGAGCTCTGTACATATCAGGTTCAGTGTTTGCAGTGATTCTGCAGCTTCTGTGCAGTGTTGGGTTGTTGAAAGGTTGGGACATGGTGCTGTTCTGGATGTGGAAATGAGTTTATAACATTGTGTACAGGGTGTGGTCCTGCATGCAGACAGACATACTTACACACAAGGATTAAATACAGATGGAGCACTGTGGAGCCCTTATGTCCAAATTGCACCTCGACGGAGTGCAGCTCTGCCTTTTTCTACGTTAGCCATTTTTCCGCAATATCCCGAAATTTAGTAAAAGATTCAAAGTGGATGATTTAGTAAAAGGTCAGTGCATTAAAAATCATGTCTTTTTCATCAGCATTACTGGTAATTTTCATTAGCTGCCTTGATCAGTGATTCTTTTCTGGAGTAGAAATGTTTACACGATGCCTTGATTTTTTTGTCCCATGTTTTTGTATTTTGACTGATTTAGTTTACCATACTGCTGCCAAAACCTCACTTTAGCTAGATACTGCTTGAGGGAAGACGTGGGTAAGAAACAATCCGTGAATAACTTACTATTTTACAGTTTTTCTCGATTGCTAAAACACTATAACCAATCTTTTGAACTAAAATTTAAAAACCATAATGCTATTTTTCAAAAAGCACACCCATTTCCCTGAACTATAAACACTATTCCCCTGCTTTAACACATGAGTCA